TGACCATGCATCCAATAGAACTTTCTGTGATGTTGGGATATTCTCTATCTGTGCCATCTACGTGGGTTCTAGCAGTTGAAATATAGCTAGTGTGACTGAGGCACTGAACGTGTACTTTTTTTTTTTCAATTTTATTTATTTATTTATTTAAAGTAGGCTCCATGCCCAGAGTGGAGCCCAACGTGGGGCTTGAACCCACGACCCTGAGATCAAGACCTGAACAGAGATCAAGAGTCAGCTGTTTAACCGACTGAGCCCCTAGGCACTCCTACCACTCTCTCTTTTCAACAAAGACGGAAACAGGCCTTAGGCCCGGAGCCTAACAGGGGTTAACAACTACTTTCATTTTGCTTCTTTTACTACATCTATTTTGTTTATCGCAGTAATACTTTTTCGTTTCCATTAAAATACATCACTTTTTCAATTTATAATAAAGTTTCAAGAAGAGTACAAAGAACACCTATTTCCTTCTAACTTTCCCAGTTGTTAACATTTTGCCAGGTTAATCTCTCTCTGTGAGAGTGCGTGTTCCTGCACACACGTCATGTGAGAGTATGCTCCAGGAATCAGATCCTTCCCTCCTAAAGACGTCAGCATGAATCTCCGAAGAAAAAGACATTCTCACACATCCAATGTGTAACTAAAATTTAACACAGGAGGGGCGCCTGGGTGGCTCAGTTGGTTAAGCGACTGCCTTCGGCTCAGGTCATGATCCTGGAGTCCCAGGATCGAGTCCCGCATCGGGCTCCCTGCTCGGCAGGGAGTCTGCTTCTCCCTCTGACCCTATCCCCTCTGATGTGCGCTCTCTCTCTCTCATTCTCTCTCTCTCAAATAAATAAATAAAATCTTTAAAAAAAAATAAAAAAAATAAAAAATAAAAAAATAAAATTTAACACAGGAAATTTAACAGTGATACATTACCATTTTCTAATATACACTCCATGATCAACTTTCTCCATTGTCCTAATGCTATCTTTCAAAACAATTATTTTTCCTGGTCCCAGGTATGTTATAGAATCGTGCATCACAGAAAATGTTAGGGGAACAAAGGCACAGGGAGTGTCAGGACAGCGGGAGGGGAATGTGGCAAAAATCCGAGGGCAAATTTGGGCTGTACGGGAAACGGGCCACTCAAGCCTGAGCTTCTGTTTCTGGAGGTGGCACAGGATGTGAATATTCCATCTGTGTTTGTGCAGATGGGGAGGAGGACAGGCTCCGGGGCCAGCAGGGGGCACTTGAATCCCAGGCCCTCCACTTAACCTGTTGGTCAACTCTCTCTTGTGTGACGTGGGGATATACAAAGAGAATCTTCCTCATAGGGCTGTGGTGAAAATTCAACCAGTTAATCCCTATAAAGTGCTTAAATAGGATTTGGCACAGAGTAAGAGCTCAATAAACATCAGCTATTGTTCCTTTCTTTTGTTGCTTAGAGGTAATTCAACCAGTTCAATTTGGGGGAGAGGCATAAGGGCATCAAACACCACACGTTGCTCCCTTGCAGGTAGCCCCCCCTACTTCTTTCTGCCCCAGAACAACAAGGATCCGTTTAGGGGTTGCTAAGGATTTCCATGGTCAAAGGTGAAGGAAAAGAGTAAGGATTTTCTGTTTCAATTAAGAGCTTCTCAGGGTGCACCCAGGCTGGTATGTGTGTGCAGGTGTTCCTGACCAGTTCCAAGGGGCAGAACTTCCCAGCTGGGACTGTTGGAGGGACTCTGTTCCTGACTCTGCTATCAAATGATGCTTCCACCACCCTGACCATCCTTCAGATCTGAGTAGGTCAACAGTGAGTGGCCACCCTGTCACAGAGGCATAGTTCTAAAGGTGAATGTCAGTTATACCTACTTTACGGATGGGAAATCTGAAGCTCAGAGAGGGGAAGAACCTGTCAGAGATCACACAAGCAGTAAGAGGCCTGGCCATCATGCCACTTTCCTTCATTAACACTTGCCCTCCACCTGGGTTCTCCGCAAAGTTTCTGCTAGCTCTTCCAGGCCGCCGCCTCCTGGGTGCCTTCCCTGACCACTTAGAACCTGTATGTGCTCTCTGGCCTTGGCTCCCCCTGCCCAGTCCTGAGCTCGGGAGATCAATGTCCGGCTCTGAGACTACCTCTAAGGCAAGTTCTACAGGGGTCCCCTAGGTTGGGCACAGTGCTAGGTGGCAGAATGAAAGTACATATCTGGAGTTCATGAGAAAGACGGTGCCTAGGAATGGTCATCTGGGAGCCACCTGGGAACAGTCCAGGCTAGGAAAGGGGGAAAACAGCATTACCAGTCCCCATGATGGGTCCAAGGTGTGCTGGAGGAAAGAAAGGGAGTTGGCAAGACCCCAAATGACAGCCAGTTTTCCTTTCTAAGCCAGGGTTCCACTCACCAAGAAAACGGTGCCCTGACATGGCAGGGACTCCAATGACTCCTCATCTTCCTCCACCCGACACACCCACCCTGGTTCAGGCACAATCCTCCCTATGGGTGGCTTCCTCCCTGCCACACTCTGTACCTCTAGCCTCCACTCAGCAGGCAGGGAGAAACTTGAAATCACAGAGACCTCGCTGCTCAAAATCCTGCACTGGCGTCCCAACCCTCTCAACAAAATCCAGTCTACTTACCAGCACTTTTTCTATGTGGACCTTACCTAGGTCTCTTAGCTAGACCTTTCCACCTGAGCTTTCCCACCTCTTTCTGATCCTTCCCAGCCACCCAAGGGATGCTCTTAATAACCATTATGGTCAAAGCAGCCCCCCACTCATTTCGCATCATCCTTTTTGAATACTATATCTACCTGGAACGACATGTTCATCTATTTTATTTCCTTTTACGTCTAGCCTTCTCCCCAATTAAATTTAACCGCCACGAGAACTGGGGCTCAGTCAACTTTGTTCACCACCTTCCCCCCTGCCCAGGATGGAGCCAGACACGCAGCAGGCACTAAGTACACAGGTTATGCATGAATGAATAAATGAATGAAAAGAAAGCCGAGGCCAGGGAAATGGGGGATTTTTGTCCCGGGGCAGCTTCTGTAAGAGTCATTCCCCAAAACCAAGTCCCCGAGGGCGGCGCCACAGTCACCAGTCCGACCCCGCGGCGCCCACTCCCCTCCCCGCGCGAGGGAACTCCGCAGCCGCCGCTTCTCACCCGCTTTTCGCAGCCACGTGGGGAAAGGGTGGGGCTCGCGACTGTCACCAGCAGAACCACCTCTGGTCCCTTCCGGCCACCGTACGGGCGCAGGCGCGCTGGCGCCAACTCGCCTCGGCCTTCCTCAGCTCCACGGACCGCTCCCGGAGTGATCAAGAGTGACCACGAGCGCAGGTAAAGCCAAGAGAGCCAACAGGTGTGCAGAGGCGGCGTCTCTGCCGCCGTTTCCCGGCCGTTCCCCGTTGCCGCCGCCCTCAATAAATTAATCTTTCGCCTAGGGAGCGTCTGCCCTGAGAAGCGAGCAACGCGCCTGCGCAAGAGGACTTGGCGGCGGCCGCCTGCGCCTGCGCACCAGGGCTCGGCGGCAGCTTGCGCCTGCGCGGCGCGGCGCTGCGGAGACCGTTGGCTCATTTACATGTCCCCGCCTCGCGCGGCGGCGGCGGCGGCGGCGGCGGCGGCGGCGGCGGCGGCGGGTGAGGAGCCTGAGGCGGCGGCGGGGGCGGCTCCGCGCGCGGTGGGTTCGGGGTGAGGCCTGGGCTCAGGCGTCGTCTGTGGGCGGGCCCCGGTTGGGAGGCTCGGGTTCCGCTCCGGGGGCCTCCGGTCCCCGCGATGACGCCGCGAGCTCGGCCCTCGGGCTGCGCGTCGGCCGCATCCCCGCCGGGTCGGCCTGGGGGGCGGTCTTCGGCCTCCCAGGCCCGACGCCCCCTTGTCTTCGTTCTCGGAGGCGGGTAGGAGGCGGGCCACGCCCGAAAGGCTGCATTCATTCATTCCACCCGAGCTGGAGCGGCTCCGTTCGTAGGGGGTTTACTGCGGCCGACCGCTGTATTGTGCTCTTTACCATTTTTTACCTGGTTGAATCCCCACAGCAGCCCCCGCTCTTAGCTGCCCGTTCTGTGGATGGGGAAACGGAGGCGCGGAAAGGTTAGGTCACTCGATTTGATCCGGAGCCGCCTGACGGGGAGACCCTGCCCTTCGATAGCGGAGAACAAGGGGCGCTCCAGGAAAAGGGCTTAAGAATGAGAAAAGAGGGTGATGGTTATAAGAGATGGCTCGAAGGAAGGGCAGGTTTGGGTCTTGGGGTTGAAGGTTTCAAGATGGAAGGGATATTGTGGTTAAGGACGCAGCCACTGGGTTCCTCAGCGTTGCTTTCAGTCGTTTTCTAGTCAGTCTTCAGGGCTTTGTCCCCACTACCAGTGCCCTGTTTTCCAGGTTCCGGTCTGGGCTCTCTGACCTTGGGTGGGTCACTTAGTCCGAGTCTTCCTCTTCTTCTGTATAATGTCATTCCTAACAGGACCCGCTTTTCACTGGGTTGTTGGAAGAAGTAAACGAGATTGTGAGAGTCCTTTTCCTACAAGAGGACCTAGTACAGAGCGAGCTCTGTCACTGGTCAGGGATTCTAACGCTCACTTGTTGAGAGGCTGTTCTCAGAGGGCAGGTCAGTTCTCAGAGCCTCTTTGCGAGTCTATAAAATAGGAAAATAGAAACGGGAAAGATCGCATCTCTCCTAAGCACCATTTGCGTGGGTTATGCTCCTCCCCTCCTCCCTGTTACATTCAGTTGTATGTGTTGCTTCGTTGCAGTTCTCCAGTAAACCCCAACAGATAGGGATTCTGAGGAAATAGGCTCAGAGAAGCAATATAGATTGATAGATCTTAGACAAGATCGCAGGGCTTGCTTTGCTCCTTCTAACCAACACACCTGTGAGCTCCATGAGGGCAGAAGACCCCTTAAAATAATCTGGCCTCCCTCTGAAGCACCATGTTCAATTATAGATTACTGTCTCATCACTTTGAGGATTAGGTGAAATTGAGCAGGCTGTGTGAGCGTTAGTTGTCATTCTTAGTGTCTTTTTTTCCCCTCTCGCTACAGGTCAGAGAAACATGGCAGCTAGGCGAATTGCACAGGAGACTTTTGATGCTGTATTGCAAGAAAAAGCTAACCGATATCACATGGACCCCAGTGGTGAGGCCGTAGGTGAAGCTCTTCAGTTTAAAGCTCAAGGTGAATTAAAGCACTTGGTTTCTTTGGGGGGAGGGTAGCTATTGGGCATTCTTTTAGAGTAAGGGCAGGAGGATATCAATGCCTTGGGGAAACTATTCAACGCTGGCTGCCTCGCCTTGGATCCTACCTTCCTTATTTGTTAAGGAGAGATAAAGTTATCTGTTGGTCTACCTGTCAAATCATTATGCAGAAGTGGGTATGGTCATTATCTGAAGCTTCTCTGCCCCAGGCATCCTCCCCCACCTAAAGAAGGGTTCTTGAATCAATCTCCTGGCTTCATCCCCACCACCCCTGCCCAGATTTGAGCTCTTACTAGTTCTCGCCTGGATTATTGCAGTAATCTCCTGAACGGTCTCTCAGCTTCTGGTTCCATTCCCCTCAAATCGGCCTCCCCGACAGATCTACTAATGCCACCCTTTGCTGGGTCAAGGCCCTACTTGGACTCCTGAGGCGCCCCATTTTGGGGTTATATCCTCAGACAAGTGCAGGAGCAACCAGGTAATAGTTAATAGTGTTGTGTACAAGACGAGGGCATGGGAGGTTGCCAAGTGTAGGCCTTGCCTGAAAACATTCCCCTTGGAAAGTTTCGAAATGTCAGGCCAGCAGCATCAAAAATGGTGCACACATTGTTTGCAGGATGACAGGGAGGTTCCTCACCATGCCACATAAGGCTCCTAGCCTTCATGTCCTGCCTTTGGGGCTCATGTTTCAGTGACACTGTGCTGCCTGTTTGTGCTTCGAATCCCTCCCCAGCCCAGCCCAGCCTGGTTAAGTCTCTGGGGCACTAAGACCCAGCTTGCACATGCCTTCCTCCAGGAAGCTCCTGCGGGCTTTGAGGTTGATTTGATTGCTCTTCCAGGCCCCTGAGCACTCCCTTTTTTGAGGTGGGCGGGCCTCCTCCAGGCCTCCTTTGGGCCTGTGCTGCTCCCTGCACCAGCCTCTGAGCCAGTTTCCACTGAGGAAACTTCCTCAGTGTTGACTGAGTGAGTCTAAGTGCTTGGGGCAGGGATAACTTGTGTACTTTGGATGTGGAGAAACGAAAGCCTAGAAGCTGTTTTCAAATTCTAAATTTTTAAAAAATGCTTGAGTATTTTTACACAAAAACCTTCCCATTGTAAGGGATTGGAAGAATTAAGAAGTAGGAGTATGGGGCACCTGAGTGGCTCAGTCAGTTAAGCATCTGCCTTCATTCAGCTCAGTTCATGATCCCAGGGTCCTGGGATCCCACATCAGGCTCTGGTCAGTGGGGAGCCTGCTTCTCCCTCTGCTGCTCCCCCTGCTTGTGTGCACACACATGCACTCTGTCTGGCAAATAAATAAAATTGAAAAAAACACACAGTAGTTAGGAGTATAATGTAAAAGTTTTTAGGTGCTTCCTTACTCCTCAGAGGTAACCATATCCGTGGTGTTTTGTGAATCCTTCAGTTCTTCTATGATATGTTTATGTAATCCTAAATACTCACATATTGATACATGTGTACACACATGCTTATGTGTATGCATATATATTATATATATATATATACACACACACACACACACACGCCTATATATCTGGAGATTTAAATCTTGGTTTATTTTTATCTAGAGACTCAAACGTCAATATGTGTCTTAGTCTCCTCAAGAAAGATGGGGGGTAGGAGCTGTACTAGGAAACCAGCAGGATGCTAGATGGTTCCTGAACCACCACTTTGTCACAGGGCCTAGCCCTGTGAATAAGCAAAGTCCATCGATTGGCCTTTCACTGTGTCTGTTCTAGTCTGTATTGCTTTACAAGGCATCTGAAAATCCCCATTGTGCAGACTTCATCCACCACTCTTCCTAATGCTACTGCCCTAACCCTGCCAGCAATAGCCATCAATACCTGGATTATCCCCGCGGACTTTTTGCTGGAACATCCATATCCACTCTTGTACCTGGTGGTCAGTTCCCTGCACTAGCCTGTGAGGTCGCCCCTTTTCTCTGAACCCCTTCATGGCTTTCCATCTTGTTCAAGGTAAACTGTAGAGTTCCACTGAGGGCCTGACTTGATCTGTTACCCCCATTCTGTTCACATCCTCTAGCATAGTGGTTCCTTAACTTTGCTGCTTGTTGGAATCATCTGGAGACCCTTTAAGATTTTATTTATTTATTACTTATTTTTAGAGAGAGCGAGAGCGCACAAGCTAGAGAGCACACTCATGTGCATGGGGAGGGGCAGAGGGGGAAGGAGAGGGACAAGCAGACTCCACAATGAGTGTGGAGCCCAACGTGGAGCTCAATATCATGAACCTAAGATCATGAGCCAAAATCAAAAGTCTGACGCTCAGCCGACTGAGCCACCTAGACAGCCCCCTGGGGACCCTTTAAAAACCCTCACGCCCAGGACACACCCCATCCCAATTAATTAAATCAGAATGCCTGGGGATCCCCAAGGACTCCAGTGTGCAGTAGAGTTTAGGAACCACCTTCTTACCACTTTGCCCCCATTACTGTCTTCCATTCTGGCTACACTTGTTCCCTGCTAGTCTTACCCCAGGGCTTTGTCCTGATGCTCCCTCTGCCTGGAAGGCTTCCCCTGTAACTGCACAGTCTGGCCTCTGACACCAGGCCTCTCTGCACAGATACGTTGTTGTCAGAGCAGCTCTTCTTGGCCAGCCTGTCTGAAAACGGCTCTCCCTCTTCAAGTTCCTGCTTGCTTGATATTTCTTATTGGCACTTTCATACATGTGATGGATTTTTATTTATTGTTTGGCTCCCTCAACTGATAAATCCGGAGACTAGGGATTTTGTTGTCTCCTTTCCCTGCTATATAATTCCATTGGCTAGAGCAGTGCCCACACACAGTAGTTGCTCAGCGAGTACTTGTTGAACAAATAAATTGGGTTTATACAAAGCTTTAGCTTCTTGTGGTCTCTTGGCCCATTACTACTTCCTGGCCTCTCTCTCCCTTTTATTTGACTTCTTGACTAGGTAATATTTTGATTCATAAGCTAGAAAATTAGAACGCTACTCTGCAAAGTCTCCCTGAGGCCTGCTGTTCCCATGTTCCTGGTTTCTTACAGAGTTTATGTGTGAATAAGCAAAAACAAGTTTAGATTCCTATTTTTCTCATTTCTGTTTTCTCATTTCTACACATACTGTTCAGTTTTCATTGTGGCCTCTCTTGCTGCAGGTTGTGTAGCTTCTGTGTCCTCTCTCATCTGTTTTAGTCTCTCTTTTTTCAGAGGATTGGTTGGCCCAGTGGACCTTTGCGGGGAGCCTCTCTGCCACCTTTCGGTCAGATGCTCAGCTGTGGTTGGCTGTGGTGGGTGTAGTGTCAGACATGGCTCCTGCCTTAGTGGCACTGTGATCTAACACTTTCTCCTCAAAGGCAGGGGGGACAGGCAGCCTCCAGAGAAACTGTCTACTGTGTGCTAGAAGTAGAAATGTACAAGTGTTCCAGTTGTAATAAAGAAGCCCAGGTTATTTGGGGACCAGACACCCTTTCCTGAGTCAAAAAGAGGGCTTATAAAACAGATGCCTGCAGAGCCCGGACAAGAAGGCTGAGTGAGTGAGGAGCACCACTGCCCAGCCTCTGTGTACTGTCATCCAGGCACATGCAGGCCCGGTGCTTGTAGGTATTCTGTTTTTAGAAGTTGTAAATCCAGATTTTTAAATAAAGCCACACACATTTTAAATGTTAGAAACAAACACAAATTTCTAAAATGCATTCTGGCAAATAAAGGACCCCTGCTGGTTGGTGGTGTGTGGACTGTCTTTTTGCGACCTCTGGTCTAAATTACCTTTTTGTTCCTCTTTGGATCATCTATTTCAGATCTTCTAAGGACGGTCCCAAGAGCCAGAGCAGATATGTATGATGACATTCCTAGTGACAGCAGATATACTCTGGCTGGATCTGTAGCCCACCCTCGAGACACTGGAAGAGAAAGCCTGAGAGGTGATGTGTTTCCAGGACCTTCCTTCAGATCAAGCAATCCTTCTGTAAGTGAAGACAACTACTTTCGCAAAGAGTGTGGCCGGGATCTGGAATTTTCCCACCCTGATTCCCGAGACCAGGTTTTTGGCCACCGGAAATTGGGACATTTCCGTTCTCAGGACTGGAAATTTGCACTCCGTGGCTCTTGGGAACAAGACTTTGCCCACCCCGTTTCTCAAGAATCCCCTTGGTCACAGGAGTATAATTTTGGTCCTTCTGCACTACTGGGGGACTTTGGTTCCTCCAGGCTGATTGAGAAAGAGTGTTTGGAGAAAGAGAGTCGGGATTACGACGTGGACCGTCCAGGGGAGGCAGACTCTGTGCTCAGGGGCAGTGCCCAAGTCCAGGGCAGAGGCCGAGGTCTAAACATCGTTGACCAGGAAGGGGCCCTTTTAGGGAAGGGAGAGACTCAGGGCCTGCTTCCAACTAAAGGGGGAGTCGGGAAACTTGTCACACTAAGAAGCGTGAGCACAAAGAAAGTACCCACTGTAAATCGTATTACTCCCAAAACTCAGGGCACCAACCAAATCCAGAAAACCACCTCAAGTCCTGATGTGACCCTGGGGACAAACCCAGGGACAGAAGATATCCAGTTTCCCACTCAGATCCCTTTGGGGCTCAATCTGAAGGATATTCGGCTCCCCAGAAGAAAGATGAGCTTTGACCTCATAGATAAGTCTGATGTTTTTTCAAGATTTGGGATAGAAATAATCAAATGGGCAGGATTCCATACTATAAAAGATGATGTTAAATTTTCCCAGCTTTTCCAGACTCTCTTTGAACTTGAAACCGAAACCTGTGCTAAAATGCTTGCTTCGTTCAAATGCTCCTTAAAACCAGAGCACAGAGATTTTTGCTTTTTTACTATCAAATTTTTAAAGCACTCTGCTTTGAAAACACCCAGAGTTGATAACGAGTTTTTAAACATGCTTTTAGACAAAGGTGCTGTGAAGACCAAAAATTGCTTTTTTGAAATCATAAAGCCCTTCGACAAGTACATAATGAGGCTTCAAGACCGGCTCCTGAAGAGTGTAACACCCCTGCTCATGGCGTGCAATGCCTATGAGCTGAGTGTCAAGATGAAGACCCTCAGTAACCCCCTGGACTTGGCTATTGCCCTGGAGACCACCAATTCTCTCTGCCGGAAATCTTTAGCCCTTTTGGGACAGACTTTCTCCTTGGCCTCTTCTTTCCGGCAAGAGAAAATCTTGGAAGCCGTGGGCCTCCAAGATATAGCTCCCTCTCCTGCCGCATTTCCAAATTTCGAAGACTCTACTCTGTTTGGGAGAGAATACATTGATCACCTGAAGGCCTGGCTGGTCAGCAGTGGGTGTCCACTCCAGGTCAAGAAGGCTGAACCTGAGCCAACCCAAGAGGAGGAGAAAATGGTTCCTCCTGCCAAACTGGAAATTCAGGCCAAGGCTCCGAGTGGTGTGAGTGATGGTAAGGAAGGCACTGGAAGTTCCTATTTATTGTGATTAGTTTGTTTTTCATGTTTTCTTGTAATGTGTCTTATTTGAGATTTTTGCACAGAAGTTTTTTAGCCAACTGGAAACAGTTTTAGTAGAAAACTCATATTGGCCGGGGTGCATGTCTGCTATTCATTCTGAAAGCATATATTAGGAATCTTCTGTCTACCACAGAAGTCTTTAGACATTTCTGGGTCACAGATTCCTTTGGGAATCTGATCAAAAGCTGTGGCCCTTGCCAGGAAAAATGCACACATATTTGTACACAGTTCTGCCTGTGCTTTCTGGGGGATTGTACCATCCTGCAGCCAAGGATAAGAAGCCCTTGTTACAGAATCTCCCTTCCCCCACCCTAAGGTATTAGTAGAGGGGAAAGTAAACACTGGGCACTGTCTCTGGGGAGTCCCCAGGCTCCTAAGGGACAGAAGTCACAAAACCCAGCTCCTCCTGTGCCAGGATTACGGGAATGGAAGAGACCCTAGCCCAGGGGAGTTGGGGAGGCCATGTTTAAGGGACCAGCAGAGATTAGCCATGTCAGCCCAGGTAGTAGAAGCACCTTTCTACCCACTCACTTTTATAGAACGGCTAAAAGTCGATAGATCAAGTAAGTACATCTGGTAACCTACAGTTAACGAGTCAGCTTTGGGGAGGTTCCAGAAAGGCCAAGAAAGAGGTAATACTAAAAACAAAAAAAAAAACCCAGAGGTATTATAAACATTTGGCTGTTTGGTGTCCTCTCTCCCTCTTAGCACCCAGGTTGGATGCTTTCCTAGTCCAGACATCCCACAGGTCATGAGCATATGTGGTGCCCATGTGACCAGTGATGAAGCACTTTCCCCCCCTTTACCTCAGGAGGAAGTCCCTTTCCCCACAAGGCAGGTTTCAGCTTCCATTGCCCCAACCAAGTGGGAAAGCCTTGTTTGTCCCTGAATCTCTTTACTTCTCTACACCCTTATGCAGCCCTGATTACATCAGGCACTGGGTAGGTCCCACCGTGGATGGGCAGCCACACCTACTCCTGGAGAGGGAGCCTTCCAGAAGTGGGCTCAGGGCTGAAACAGGACCCTTCCTCCCCACGCCTCTCATAGTGGGGGAGTGGAAAGTCAGTGTCATACTGAAGAACGTTGTTTGAAGGAGGAAAAAAATACCCATAACCTAAAGTTGCCCACCACTATTTTCTGGTTTTGTTGCTATGCGAGTGCACCCACAGCAACAGTCTTGCTGTGTTGAAAACACTACAGTCTATTCTTTTATAGGATCATCAAAGGCCTTTTTCTGTGTTTCAACAGCATTTGCTGCATCATGATACTGACCTAACGTAAATTACTTCATCCTTCCCTTGATGTGGGACTGTGCTGCCTTTTACTAGAGGCCTCTGAGGCTGAGCAGAGCTGGGTTCCCTTGTAATTGACGTCTGCAGGCCTGGGCTGTCTGGACAGCAGGTAGATGGCACCAGTGCCCATGTCTCATGGGGTATGCCCTGCCACTGCTTCCATTACTGTCTGAAATGTGGAGATGAAATCTTCAATTGAATGTTTTGGTTACCACTATTGTTATTTTTTATTTTTTAGTTCTTCTCTATAGAATATGGTCAGGGGAAGAGGATTGTGGGGCCAAAACTGGGACACTTGCTTATGGTTACCTTCACGAGAGATGGTTGGAGTGATCCACAAATACGTTGTTTTTCAAAGCTTCCAACTCTGAACCTTTTATTCTTTGGTAAGACTGTGTAAAACCAGCAATTCTGTAGGATGAGAGCCGATAACAAAAAAAAAAAAGTTTCAAAAGGGAAATAATTGCAATAGCATGACAATTGAAGAATCCATTTAGCCAGTGTAAAGAGCTCACACTGAGGTTTAAAATAAGTTTAAAGCTGGGGCGCCTGGGTGGCTCAGTCGTTAAGCGTCTACCTTCGGCTCAGGTTATGATCCCAGGGTTCTGGGATCAAGCCCCGCATCGCATCGGGCTCCCTGCTCAGCAGGAGGCCTGCTTCTCCCTCTCCCACTCCCCCTACTTGTGTTCCCCCTCTCGCTTTATCTTTCTCTGTCAAATAACTAAATAAAAAAAATCTTAAAAAAAAGTTTAAAGCTGCAACTCAAGCATAAGCAAGGACTGGACAGTGCAGTTAACTCCACAGAACAAACTGGAAAACCTCTCCAGTTCAGGAGTGGTTTTTATCGAATGACTAAACAAACAGACCATTCTGTGCAATTAAAACTAGCAAATATCAGAAAACTAAACAGTCTTAATAATTGAGGGCCAGCTGCTCCTCTGTGTTGCCAGTGGCATTGTAAATTGAAACTCATTAAGGAGGGGCGCGTCTGGATGGCTCAAACATCTGACTTTTGATCTCAGCTCAGGTCTTGCTCTCAGGGTCCTGAGTTCAAGCCCCTTGTTGGGCTCCACACTGGGCCTGGACCCTACTTAAAAACAAAAAACACACACTTCATATTGAAAGAAATTGACACTTTAAGAAATGTTTTTCTTTTCATGTATTCAGCAAATATTTTCTGTGAACATCTATCCTAAGGCCACTGACTTTGATTAGGGGATTTTTGTTTGCAAATTTATATGTATGTTTTCTGATTATAAAACACGTGCATATTTATTTTTTATAAAGCACAAAGAAAATGAAGTCTCTGCTAAATCTACCCATAGATGATATCTATTAACATTCTGACATACTTCCTTCTTTTTTTTCTCCACGTGTCCGTATTTATGTATCTTTTCTTCCCTCCTTCATATTGGGAATCATAATCTAGATTTTTTTTATGTATTTTATACTGAGTTACTTTTTTTTTAAGATTTTATTTATTTATTTGACAGAGAGAGACACAGCAAGAGAGGGAACACAAGCAGGGGGAGTGGGAGAGGGAGAAGCAGGCTTCCAGCGGAGCAAGGAGCCCAATGTGGGGCTCGATCCCAGGATCCTGGGATCATGACCTGAGCCAAAGGCAGACACTTAACGACTGAGCCACCCAGGCGCCCTACCAAGTTACATTTTATATCTTTATGTTTTTCATTTAATATGAACATTCCAGTTAAGCGGTACCTGACAAGCAGAACAGAATTGCTACTATAATTTTCTTCTGTAGAATATATGCATATATTTCTCTGAACAGTCGCTATAAGCTTGTGACTTTCTCTTCTAGTGGTTATGCTGTTCTGTCTTTTGGGATGCTATTTTGGGTATTGGTTTTTAGAATACCATGCTGCTCTCCTCTTTTCAATGCTGATTTCTCTTGAATGAGGATTTTGGTCTTTGGTGCCTGCTTAGGTTCCATCCTAAGCCTCTGACTCTGTCCTGGCCATCCCAGGCCCCATGTGGTCCAGTGTGTTTCTCAGAAAAGCCCTTTTGTGTGTTCCAGCGGTCCCCCAGCGAGCGGATCACAAGGTGGTGGACACAATCGACCAGCTGGTCACTCGTGTTGTCGGAGGCAGCCTATCTCCCAAAGAGAGAGCCCTTCTCAAGGAGGACCCTGCTTACTGGTAGGTCTTTAAATGTTGGCCCTCTGAATCCCTCCCATAGAACACATGGCAAAATTTGTGTCTTGATGGTGTCCGACGCAGAGGGTGAGGTATTAATTTTGAGGAATGGTGTTAGCCAGTGGGAACAGCATGAGAGAGGGTCGGGTTCACCGACATTCAATTCCCAGCCCTGCTGCCACCCCCTGCCATGTGGCCTTCTCTTGTCCGGTCAGGGAGCCCCTTGTGCCTCTGTGCTGGCTTAAGGATGAGATGAGAGGTGCATGCAGAGAGCACATGAAGATAAGGGATGGGTTACAGCAGTTGTTCGTGACTTACTGCTACTGTTTGTTCAGTTCTCTTCTCCTTTTGCCTTACTGCCTCTTCACACGAATAGAGCAAGTTTTTAAAATTACAGTTTTCAGGGGCGTCTGGGTGGCTCAGTCGTTAAGCATCTGCCTTTGGCTCAGGTCATGATCCCGGGGTCCTGGGATCGAGCCCTGCATTGGGCTCCCTGCTCAGCGGGAAGCCTGCTTCTCCCTCTCCTACTCCCCCTGCTTGTGTTCCCTCTCTCACTGTATCTCTATCAAATAAATAAATTAAAAAAAAAATTAAAGTTTTCAGCATAAATGCAGTATTTGCTTATTAGAGGAAGTTGAGAACAACAGAAAGTAGGGGGAAGCCCCTCGTATGCCCACCGACATCTACTGCCAGTTTTGCCTGTTTGCTTCCAGTCTCTCTGCCCACTGAGGGCTATTTGGGTTTTTAATATAGCTGTGATTTTACTATGATATGATATATCCTGCTCTTTTGGGGTTTATGTATTTATTTTTTCTGCTCATTTTAGATAACACAGGAAAATGCTCATATTTTTTATCTTTCATAAACATTTTCAGACAGCTGCGTTTATTAATCCATAGAGGAGGTGGCCAGAGTTTAGTTAGCCATCCCTCTCTGGTTAGACTTACAGAATGATTTTGATTGTATACTGTTTCAGACTGCTTCAGTGAATGGCTTAATGCAGCCTATTTTCTTGTGTGTTTAGGATTATCTCTAGATGGCTGCAAGTGGAAAATGTTCATACTTTAACTTTTTTTAAAGATTTATTTTATTTGTTTATTTAAAGATTTTATTATTTATTAGAGAGAGAGAGAGCATGTGAGCAGGGGAGGAACAGAGGGAGAGGGAGACAATTTCCAGCAGACTCCGCACTGAGCACAGAGCCTGACGCAGGGCTCAATCCCAGGACCCCGAGATCATGACCTGAGCCAAAACCAAGAGTCAGATGCTCAACCAGCTAAGCCACCCAGGCGCCCCTGACTTTTTCTTAAATCATAAAAGTGGCATATGTCCTTTGTAAAAATAGAAAAAAGTACTAAGATAAAGATACTGTCACTCAGAGCTCCACCACTTCTCCCTCTCAGTGTGTCCTAGGTTTCAAACCTAACATCACTGTCCCTTTAGCAGTGGGTACGTGCTCTTCCTTTGTACACAGGTACCCTAGCATACTCAACCATTGCCCATTGATGAGTTTTTAGATTCTTTCCAGTTTTTCCCTACCGTAAATACCATTATGATGAACAATGTTTTCTGTTTATTTCTGTCTACATTTCTAGCAGTTTATTAGGGTAGTATCTGGGAGTGAAATTGCTGGGTTAAGGAGAAAATTAACTTTACAGGCCTTTGATCTCTGTTACTTTTTCTCAGCTGCGCATGATTGACCTTTGAAACTGGATAATCCTCTGGTGGGGACTGTCCTGCGCTTGGCAGGATATTTAGTAGCATCCTTGGCCTTTCCCCTTACACTGGATGCCGGTAGAATCCTCCATCCCAGACACTGGCCACTGGGGGCAGGAGTTGCCCCTGGTGGAAGCCATTGCTCTTTATCATCAGGTTACTTACTGTGGGTTATCTGTCCCAGTTGACACCTGCTGCCACTCTGTAAGCATGCCATGCCCTAAACTGTGTTTTGACTTAAAGATAATTTCATGGTGTGATGTTTTACCTCGTATTCGTTTGTTAATTAACAAAGATTTTGTTTCCTCATTATACGTCTAGTTGTAGTCCCTCTTTTTGTGTCTATTCAGGTCTTGTGTGATCAATATTGCACCCATACTGGACTCAGTATTCTTGCTGTTGTAATTAGTAAAAATGCTTGAAAGGCATAAATTGCCGTGTAACAGGGCTAGAGTTTTGGTCTTAACCAGCATGATTTACCACGGGGAAGGGTTGGAGCTTATATGGTTTTATTTTTACAGAATTCTCAGACTCATTTGTCCTATTTTCATATTTAGAATGAGGTGGGCATATAACTTAAAAGTTAAAAAAAAAAACAGCCCAATAAGCAAATCATTCCATCATAATTTATTGAAAACTTTATTATCAAACACTTTTTGCTTTCTCTGCACTTGGTACTATTCTCAGCGCTTTTCTGATTTAAGCACTAGCTGACTGAATCCTCCCTCATAAACCTTGTGAGGCAGGTATGTTGTCATCCTTATTTTACAGATAGGAGACTTGAGGCTCAAAGAGGCCTTTTACCTAAAGAGTGCAAAGCTAGTAAGATAGAGTCGAGATTCTCATCCAGGTTCTTGCTCTCAATCAGTGTGCGTGCTGAAGGAAGGAAGCTAGATAGCCTCAGATTGACAGGTGAAAGCAGAGACCAAACCCTCTTGGGTAAAGTACTCTCCAGACTTGAAAGGCCCAGGGGCAATTTCCAGGTGATTGGGCTGGAGGGAAAGGGGACCCCGAGAAGACTGGGGACATGTGCCTCTGCATCATGACCAACCAGGCTCATGATCACTGATGGGCAGTGTAACAGACAAAACCATAACCAGAGTTGTACATATGGGAGGTGGGGTACAGAATTAGAAATAAGCATTGAGGGGCGCCTGGGTGGCTCAGTTTGTTAAGCAACTGCCTTCGGCTCAGGTCATGATCCTGGAGTCCTGGGATCGAGTCCCACATCGGGCTCCCTGCTCAGCAGGGAGTCTGCTTCTCCCTCTGACCCTCTTCCCTCTCATGCTCTCTATCTCTCATTCTCTCTCTCTCTCAAATAAATAAATAAAATCTTAAAAAAAAAAAGAAATAAGCATTGAATTAGAAATCAAATATTTGAGGAAGATGAACATCATGAAGACAAGTCACCAAACTCAACAAATAGAGCTGACACCTGAGAAGACAGATTTACCATAAGAAAAAGAGTTAGTCTAAAAATATGTGTGTGTGGTTAACAGTCTTTGGTGGATGATAGTATATTGTATCCATGAAACAGGAGCTTTTTGTTTTTGGAAAAGAACCTGTTAAAGATCTTGGAAATGAAAAGTGTGATTGTTGAAATAAAAATCCTAGTGGTTGGCTAGAATAGACCCAGATGAGGAAGAGATTAGGGAGCTGGACTCAGACTTGACTCCCGGAAAACTCCTTCAGAAGGAATTACCAGAGACTATCAGAGGAAAAGATGTGGTGCCAAGAAAGAATGATAAGAAACTAGTAAGGTTAGGGCTTTGGTGTGTACATTAGAATTCTTAAAGGAGTTCGTGTATGTAGTTTATAAAAATCAGTTGAATTAAGAAAAGCAAAATGTTTCCGCTTTGACCAGTTCCCATGCCAGTTCTACTTCTCGCAGTCAGTCTCTTTTGGTATTTTAAACTTCTACATTATCTCTTGATGATAAGCCTGTGTTGCTCTTCCTTGATCTATCAGTTTTAGCCATCACTGTTGAAGCCCTACGAAGATAAATGAGGATTTAGCTCTCCCTCCTCTCAATCACTCATCAGAAAACCACCTTCTTGCTAGGCTCCAGTGCTGTGTTAGGTTCTTTTTATTAGTTAATAAATGAAAAGTTCAGATCTTAGGAAACATGTAAGAAGGCTTTGCGTTTTCTCAGCCCTTCAAGGTACAGCAGAGACTTGAGATTTCTACCTCCCTACAAGGAGGAGCAAACACGGGTTTGTTCACAGCCGGGCCTTGTGGACAGAACTGGCCATTGCCGCTCACTGAGGCGGCCTGCACCTTCGGGTGCACTAAAATAACAGTAGTAGTGCAGACTCCCATTGCAGCTTTGCTTCCTTGTCAGGAGCACCAGTTCGCAAAGCTTCCTTCATTCTCCATGAGAGAGATTGCAAAGCAGCAGGCCCATAGAATGGTCCCAAGGATGTAAGATGTAGAAGTGAAAGAATATGTCACTTTGTTTTTCCCATCTTCTAAGTTGTCCCTTCAGAGTGGGATGGTCCTGACCCTTGCTGGACTATGCCTTCCAGGGACAGCCCACCATGTCCAAATGTTTACAGACTCGGGAAAAAGCAGGGGGGCTTGAATCCCTCTTGGCTGGCCCCAGCAGGATTGTCCAAGGGCCTCAAAGCAAATACAAGATCTAAATAATTGATGCTGCGGTGGGGGGGGTGGACCCTAAAACCCCAGATAATCTAGATAATGTAAGGTGGTAAGTAGCAGGAAAGAGGTGGATACTAAGGTTCTTGTCTTGCTAAAAGTGAGGATATAGGGACGCCTGTGTGGCTCAGTCAGTTAAAGCATCCATGATCCCAGGGTCCTGGGATCAAATTCTGCTTCAGGCTCCTTGCTCAGTGGGGAGCCTGCTTCTCCCTCTGCCTGCCGCTCCCCCTGCTTGTGCTCTCTCTCCCTCTCCCTCTCTCTCTGACAAAAAAAAAGTGTAAGGATATAGCTAGTGACTAGTTCTGAACATAGAAAATAATAGTTTAAATGTATATTAATCTGACTAGCCAGTAAAGACATAGAAGTGGGATTTATAACTTCCACACTACTATAGAGGGTGAAGCCAAAAAGAAAATGTATTCATCCCAATGAAAAGCAAGAAAGGGAAAAAAAATTAAAAAGGAGGGCAAATAGGCAATGAGTACAGTGGCGCCACCTTTACCAGGGACTTGGGTTTAAAAGTACCAACCATTGCTTCCTCTCAGAGATAAATAAAACAGAGTGGGGAAAAAAAACGGAAAATGACATACCAAGCAAAGGCTATCAAAAAAAAAAAAAAAGTATGTAAAGGTCATTTCAGACAAAACAGAGAAAAGCATAAAAGGGGGCAAAGTAGGCTACTGACCAGGCACAGTCATCATGTAGTTCCAGCAGTTGGGAATCTTTTTTCTTTTCTTTTTCTTAAGTAGCAGCGTCCACACTTAGTGTGGAGCCCAACACAGGTCTCGAACTCACAACCCTGAGATCAAAACCTGAGCTGAAACCGAGTCAGACGCTTAGCTGACTGAGCCAGCCAGGCACCCCAATAGTTGGGAATCTTGATGTCTGAACTACGTAGCTTAGAGCTGTGTAAATAAACAACACTTAGAAATATAAGAGGAATTGATCGATCTATATCATGGCAGGAGGCTTGAATATAATTTTCTGAAATGGGTAGATGTCATCCAAATAAAATATTTAGAACACAGTGAATTGGCATAAACAGGTAAAGATGATTTGCTAATGCTTATTGAGCAGTTAGTGAATGCCACACAGTATTTAAAGCATTTTCCTTACAATGAAAAGTGTGTAACTCAAGCCTCACAACAACGTGATGAAGTAATTTATTACTATCGATCCCTCTTACAGATAGAGGAACTGAGGCACAGAAAAGTTCAGAAAATCTCGTGGCTAATAAGTGGCCATGGTGGGATTTGAACCCAGCAGGCTGGCTTGTGAATGTTCTGTGCTCTTAATGTTATGTTCCACTAGAACCTGGGGAGACTGACATCCTCAGACTGCACTTGGCATCAGAACTCTCCAGGGAAAGGGGCTTGTATCCTGGGGCTCTGGGTCACCTGGGTGCTGACTCCGCTTTCTGCCCTGGGTGAGGGGTACCCTTGCTGGGGCTGCGTTTCACAGGAGAACCAGACCATCTGTTCCTTTATGTGGGAACCCTTGCTTGTTAGGGTGCAAGATGCTGCTGTTGGCCCAGCAGAGTGTGTGGGGCAGCAGCGGAGCCGGCGTGCAGCCTGTGTCCTCAGACCCAGCCGGACCTTAACCGCACATGGCAGCATTGAGAACTGCGCACGGAGCTGCCCCCCAGGGACCCCCCACGGTACGCCGTGCTGCCAGCACCCTGCTTCACGCAGCCGGCTGGCTCCTGTCACTGGTGATTGGGAACCGCACCTAGTAAGTGGCCTCTTAACGTCAGGGTGACTGAAGGCCGCCTGAAATGCCGCCCTGTCCACCAAACAGTAGTCATTCTTCTTGAACACAAATTGAAATTGAACATTCATGAACTCCTGTTACATGTGAGGTCCCAGAGAAACTCTCCACACATCCCAGGAAAGGAATATCACATGGGCCACATTACACGATGCATAAAAGTCAAAATTAGCAACAGCCAAAATAAAACTTGCTTCTAAGTAACCTTTGAGTGAAGGGGAATGAGAACTGACTTTAGGAACTCTTCAGAAGGAGGTAGCAGGGGGCTCGGCACACTGAATGCGGCTGTAGCCATATGTAGAGGAAAGTGCAACGTGGGACACGTTTGTCAGAAATGGAGTGAATGTAAGCATTCACCACATATGGCCCGAAGGAAATGGCAAGAAAAGTCCAGACCCTAGAAGGGAAGGATTAGTAGAGCTGAAAGAAGGTGCTAACGAAGTGGAAAACAAAGTAAAGAGTATGTGAGTTCCCTCCATGCCCCTTACTGTCCATTCCCCAGGGCTAGTTAGCTTTATATTCTTTCGGCCTCTGTGAGCACAGCAAATGCACGTGGATCTACGTACACAAAGCGGATTCATGTGGTCCACATCAGTGCTGGCGTTCTTCTGTAGCCTGCTGCCCTCTCTGGCTGTATCGTGGATGTCTTTCTGTGTCGGCACTCGGGACTCAACCTCCTCTTTCCTATACTGTTTTTTTTTGTCTTTTTTAAAGATTTTATTTATTTATTTGTTTGACAGAGCGTGCACAAGCAGGGGGAGCGGCAGGGAGAGGGAGAAGCAGGCTTCCCCACTGAGCAGGGAGCCCAATGGGGTTTTGATCCTAGGACCCCGGGATCCTGACCTGAGCTGAAGGCAAGACACTCCACTGACTGAGCCATCCAGGCACCTCTGTACTGTTCTGGATATGACTCTGGCACCTGATTTCACAGCCATGGCACTCTGGCCTCGGTGGTGCAGTTGAAGCCAGGGTCTCTGAGTACTCTGCCTCACTGGGCTCTTTGAAGGGTGTCACCTCCCAAAAATGGCACCCACAAGCGACAGAGTGGCAGTGTCTCTGTGGCTCCAGAGTGATTATGTTACGAGGCTACTAGGAGTTGTGAGCACCTTCACCGCTGGGGATTGTGAAACCCAAGTAGAAACCGACTGGTGCTGGATCAGAGCTGCCACTGCCCTGCAGTTACTGTGGGCAGGAGGGGACCTGGGTGGTCCATGGATCAGAGCCTCTCAGATGGCAGGGAGGCTGCCACTTGGAAAGGGTGTGAGAAATGGGATCGTAGCAACAATTCGGTACGTGGTATTGTTTTAACCAATGTTCTTCTGTGCCTGTTTTGTTACGTAGGTTTTTGTCTGATGACAGTAGTCTGGAATACAAATATTACAAACTGAAGCTGGCAGAAATGCAGCGGATGAGCCACACCTTGTCAGGAGCAGATCAAAAGCCGACAGCAGCAGAGTGTGCTGTCCGGGCCATGCTGTATGCTCGGGCGATCCGGAGCCTCAAGAAGAGGCTCCTCCCAGGCCGGCGGCGGGGGCTGCTCCGCACCCAAGGGCTCCGGGGCTGGAAGGTGAGGAGAGCAACCACTGGAACCCAGACCCTCCTCTCCTCAGGCACCAGACTGAAACACCATGGCCGGCAGCCTCCAGGTTCATTGCAGGGAAAGCTGTCCCAGCCAGATGGAAATGAAACTGCCAAGGACTGCCCGCCTGACCTGGCCGGACCCTCTCCTGGGGACCCCAGCCCAGAAGCCTCGGGCCCATCCCCCAAGCCAGCAGCAGTGGAAGTCTCTGAAGCCCCTCAGACCTCCTCTCCCTGCCCATCTGCTGACGGTGGGTGCTCAGTCCTGTCCCCCTCTTCTGGGCCCCAGCCCTGACTCTCCAACCTCCAGGGGTCCCTCAGGGTTGGGGGTGGGAAACCTGGGTGGTCTGAGCCATCTGTGCAGCAGGCAGGAGCAACAGGGACCTGGCCAGGACAGGTGCACGTGGAGGCACTCTCCTCTTAACTTCCTAGAGGGGCTGGCCCTCTAGGCCTGTAGCCAGCTTCCTCCTGTCCAGGGGTCGAGCTGACTCACCGTGTTCCCCTGCCAGGTCCTCCTGCTGGCCACCTGGTTATGCCCTGGGCCCATGCTTGGGGCTTTGAGTGCCTCCATCCATTTCTCACTCTGTTCTTGCCCCTCTTTACCTTCTGTAGGGCTGCCCTCGTCTCTCGTTCTGCCTTTTCTTTCCCAAGGTCTCTGTTTCCTTCCTTAGGATTAGCTGACCTGCAGTTTTTTCTGGCCATTACCTTTTCTCTGTGACAGGCCTGCCCCCGACCAGACCAGTACTTTGCACTTAGCACTAGGTGGGGATGGAGAGGGGAAACAAAGTCTCCACCAATGCTACATTCTCTGGCTTTTGCTGTGTAAGGAGCCATTCTGAGCTGTGCCTTCCAAGGGAGTATCCAGTGCTCCAAGTCTGCTCAACTGGGCTGGGCCCACCCGTGTGTTTGTAGGCAGCAGCTGGTTGTGTGGGGCCATCGGCTGAGGTAACAGGGATGTCTGGGCCACATGCCTATCGCCCCCTAGCAGCCAGCCTGGATTTGTTCACCTGACAGTCAGGGTTCGGCCTCCAGGAGGGCAGCGGAGGTGCTCAAGGCCTCCGAAGCCCGGGTTCCACACTGATGCCACCTTGTCAGTCAGCATGAGTCCCAGGGCCAGCCCCAGTTTTTGGGGGAGAGAAGAGAATCTCCCTCTGCTGGACAGAGCTACAGAGTCCCATGGCAAAGGGCAATGATGCAGTGAGGGGACATGAGGGGCTGTCTTTATAATTAGTCTCCCTAACCACCACCCCCAAAGTTGAAATTGGAAGCAGCCGCTCAGAACTGACATGTGACAGTCACTTTGTTTTGTAGTTGACACGAAGACCATGGAAACTGCAGAGAAACTGGCCAGATTTGTTGCTCAGGTGGGACCAGAGATTGAACAGTTCAGCATAGAAAACAGCACTGACAACCCTGACTTGTGGTATGTAGCCATCGTGCCCTTTGAATTTGAGTGTGTTTACTCTATGAGTGTCCTGAGAGAGAGCCTGTGGGGTGGCCTGGCAGACACACTTCTGCCCCAGGAGGCACCTGAGGAAAAGTCATGGCTTTACTTCTGCCAAGCTCAGGGCTGTGAGGGGGAAGTGTCTGCTTAGGGGTGTTGGGCAGTGCTGCCCTCATCTGGGACATCAGAAAAAACCTGCCCTGGAGGGAAGTTTAAGCTGTATTTGAAGGTCAAGTGGGCTTTGATCAGGGGAAGGGGGAGAGAGCACCCAGCCAGAGAGCCTAGTCGGTTCCCTAGAACCTTTGCAGAGGCCAAGTGGTGTGGGGTAGGGGGAGGAGGAGGGTGGGGCACTGTCCCTGGTCACACCAGTGCTCCGGGCACCAGTGATGGATGGGGTCCTGGTCCAGCTGTGGGCAGCAAGCACTTCCATATAGTGGGGGCCTGGCATCCTTTTGCCAGGAGGGGGTGCTGTTACCCTTGCCGTTCCTCAGATGGGGTGCCTAGTCAACACCACACAGCCTGCAGGTGACAGAACCAGGAGCCTGCTCCGCCTTGTGGGGCACAGGTTCACCTCCTTTAGGGCAAGGCTACCTGGGAGCCCCGTATTCCTGTTACTGAGCCATAACCAGGTGGGGTTCCCATGCTGTGTAAATTGTATCCTCCTGTTGGCTGGGAACTCTGGACCCTTGCCCTGCTCCTACCATGCTGGAGAGCCATGCCTAATTAAGACTATGGTTGAAAACTACACATTTCTTAGAGCATTTCTGGGACCCAGTAGTGTGACCCAGCATGTTCTTCCAGCTTGTTGGGGACCTTGAGTAGGTTCTGCACTGGGTATGCCTCCTGCTTCCTGTGAGACCCAGATCAGCCTTGGGGAGCACTGACGGCTTCATGGGGGCTCAGCCCAGTTCTGCCTTTCACAGGCCTGGTGACCTTGGGGCCAGCTGTGCCTAGCACGCCTCAGAGTTGGGTAGACCCAGTGAGGGGGACAGCTCCGCTAAGGGCAGCCAGGAGCATTTCATAGGTTGTGGGTTTTTTGTTGTTCCCCCCTCCCCAAAGGAGAATTCTGCATTATCCTGGCACTGCCGTGGTTTGGGTTTATTCGTTACCGTTTCTGACAGCCTTTTCTGTTCCCTCCCCACACAGAGTCCCCCATTATTGTACAGCGACATTAGGTGGAGTGATTCACTCTGTCCCCCCGCGCAGTGCTCATAGAGCAGTTTGAGAATGACTGCATCCAACACCACACGTATTTAATAAAGGTCAAGGTGACTTTGTGTTTTTTTCTTTAGAAAAAGTATACCTCTAACGCTGTTTGAGTTGATTCCGTTTTTGTGTGTGGTTATGTCATCGATTTGACGTATAGTCAGGTTCATTTTTTCTACAGAGATTCCGTTTTAGGGCTTTTTTTTCTATCAGCATTTGCATGGTTCTAAAGTAAAAATTACAAAAGGTAGGCTCAGAGAAGTCTGAGTGGGAATCCCCTCACCCATCAACAGGAAACCATTTCATTCAGTTCTAGTGGGTATGTGCATTTCCTCTTTTGTTTTTACACGTACCTTTTTTATGTGATAGACACTTTTGCACCTTGCTTTCTTCCCTTCACCACCTACCCAGAAGTCCCCTGTGCCTGTCCCACCTGTCCCCTCGTTGTCTTGTCCTCTGTCGTTCTCTACGTGCAGCCGCCTCAGGGTCACTCCCCAGCTATTGGCATCCACGTGGTTCTTACAGCCCCATCAGTGGCCTCACGCACAATGACTCTGTGGAGAGAATCTTCATGTATCTTCCAGAAGGGGGACTGTGGGGTCCAAGGTCATTGCACATGTAATTTTGTTAAATAATGGAAATACCCCTCCCCGAGGGCCCATCCCAAAGCAGTGTCCAGAGTACCTGTCCCCATCCCTCACCTTTGGCGTGCCTTAGAGTCAGTAGGATTCATGAGAAATTTCTCATTTCCACCATGAAATTTTAGTTTCCATTTTTCTCATGAGTGAAATTGAACATCTTTTCATAAACTTGTGTCCTGTATTTTCATGTGAACTGTTCATTTGTCTCTTAAAACAAGGTTTGTCCTTTAAAACTTTGTTGTAAATAGTTTGCATTTTTTTGAATTTTGTGTAAATGCAGCTTTTTCTTGCTTTTTGTCTGGCCCCTTTATTCAGCACAGTTACTCGGATTCAGCCATGTTTGTTGCGTGTATCCCCAGTTCATTCTTCTTTGCTGCTGAGTTTGTCCCACTGTGTGGCTGGACCAGTTGTTTACCCGTCACCTGTTGATGGCATTAAGATGTTTCCAGTGTGGGGCGATTATAGGTAAAGCTGCTGTGAGCTGTTGTGGATAAGGTCTTTATTTCTTTCCAGGAAATACCAAGGAGAGAAAAGGCTGGCTCCATGGTGGGCCCACTGTTAACTTTTGAAGAAACTGCCAAGCTGCCTTTCCAAGTGGTAGCACCGTTTTGCATTTTTAGCAGCCTGGACGAGAGTTCCAGTTCCAACCCCACACAGCACTTGCTGGTGTCAGCTTTTTCATGTTAGCATCCCAATGCGGGGTGGGGGGGTGGTGTTGCACTGTGGTCCTCATTTCTCCAAGGACTAAATGGTGCTGAGTGTCTTCTAGTATACTTGTGTGCTTCCCATACTTAAGTGTCCATTTGGATCTTGGGTCCATCTTTTGATTGGGTCATTTATTTACTTATTAATCAATTTTGAGGGTTTGTTATACATTCTTTATAGGAGTCCTTTGTCAGATGTATGATTTGCAGATACTTTCTCCTGGTCTATGACTGGTTTTCTCATTCTGGCTGTCTTTTGGAGGGCTCAAGTTCTCAATCTTTGCCCTTTTTTCTTATTGGGTTTTTTGGACTTCTTCTTTCTCAATTTTTTTTTTTGAAGATTTTTATTTTGGGGGTGCCTGAGAGGCTCAGTTGGAAAGGCATACAACTCTTGATCTTGGGGTTATGAATTGGAGCCCCATACTGGGTGTAGAGATTACTTAAATAGGTCTTTTTTTTTTAAGTTTTTATTTTTAAGCAATCTGTATACCTGACTTCATCAGATACCGTGTTTCTGGCCTTTGTCTTGGTGTTTCTGTCCATGTGTCCAAGGACTGGTACCACACTGTTGTGACTGTAGAGGCTTCATACACCTTGTAATACCTGATAAGGCCAGAACCCTTCACACATTTTGTTTAGAGTTCTCCCAAATACCCTTACATATTTATTTTTCTCTATGAAGTCTAGAATCATGTTCAAACCTAGAAAAAAAAAGATGCACTTATTGAGATAGGCTTATGCATTAATATTTTAATTAGGGAAGAATTGACATTGTTATGAGGTTGTTATTCTGGCCAAGAACAAGGGCTTCTTTCCTTGGGTCCAAGTGTATTTTGCGTCTTTGTGCATGTTTTCAGTTTCTCACACTAGCCACAGCCTTGGGTCAAGGTGGCCATGGGACTCTGAGGTTCTGAGAGGCAGTATTGCCACCACGTTGACTCAGCTTCACTATAGAATGAGGGGCAGAAGGGACGGGCCTTCCTCGGTCTCCTACCTGGCAGTGTGAGAGGAACCAGGCAGTTACCCTGAGCGCACGGGAGTCCCAGAGTGGCTGGTGACAGACTAGAAGGGGATGAGGAGAGGGCCAGGTTAGATCTCTGGCTGCAGTGTTGGAGCTTTTTCCAGCACATTCCTTGGTCATTTCTGCATACCTTGTTCCTCTACCTCCCTCCCCGGAAAAGCAATGGGGCCTCTTAACGTTCTGGCTCCTTTGTTAAATGGCTGCTACTCCTCGGACTTCTCTGTCTCATTGTGAAGCTGCACCATCAGCCATAGTTGGTAGGAAGAGGTCAGGTTATTTGTTCCTCGGTTCCACTCCCAGCTTTGTTGGATCTCTTCCGGCTAATTTAGTAAATGTGAATGTTCAGAGGACTCTCTGATTCACCAGTGTCTTTCATCCTCGTCCCAGGTTTCTCCATGACCAAAACAGTTCAGCCTTCAAGTTCTATCGAAAGAAAGTGTTTGAGTTATGCCCATCCATTTGTTTTACATCCTCTCCACTGAACCTCCACGCCGGTGAGAGCGGTGATTCTCAGGAAAGCCCCCTTGATCCCATGGAAGGGGAAGGAGAGTTTGAAGATGAGCCCCCGCAGCACGAGGCTGAGCTGGAGAGCCCGGAGGTGGTGCCTGAGGAGGACGAGGAGGAGGAGGAGGACGAGGAGGAGGAGGAGGAAGAGGAGGGGGCCGAAGAGGGCGCCACTCCTAGAGGGGCCTCCAGGTCAGCAGGAGGGGCGGCCAAGTCCGAGGGCTCTGAGGGCAGCCCCCCCACCGATGGCCTCCCGAGCGAGGCGGCCGAAGATGGCCCACCTGGTGCACCTGCCCTGTCACAGGCCTCCTCGGGGGCCTGCTTCCCCCGGAAGAGGGTCAGCAGCAAGTCCTTAAAGGTTGGCATGATTCCAGCTCCCAAGAGGCTGTGCCTCATCCAGGAGCCCAAAGGTGAGTGCCCGACATTCATCATGGCTTCCCTAGCATGGGCTTCTGTTTAGCGCTGAAGGAGGAACCGTGCTGCTCAGTTGTGGACCAGGAAAAGTTGTGGAGACCAGCTGATGTCACCTGACTGTATGGAAGAATTTACTGGCCCTTAGCCCACGCTTAGCCACAAGATGACCAGCCAGTCCCTGTCCCCCTTCCCGCCTCTGATTACACCTACCAACCGGGATGTTACCTCCCAAATCCCTCCAGGGCCAACAGAACATGAGATTCTTCGGTCTTGTGTTTTTAACCTGAACTAGTTCCGGTGGTTTTGCATACCACTCCCACATGTTCCGTGAAGCTCACATCGCTGGCTGGTGTGAGGCTGGCAGTCAGAGGACGCGCCGCTGCGTCAGTGTAGCGGCCGCGTGTTAGGATCAGATGCTGCTTGGTGTTTCCGTCATTGCTCATGGTCCAGTGGAGGAGCCCCGGCTGTGGAGGGCACGGGCCTTGGTCATCTCCGCAGTTTCCCGCCCGTGACCTTGGGGAGGACCCAGCCTTCTGAGCCCCTGGAAGGCCCGGGGCACTGATGCCTGCTTAGTGATGACGAGGAAGGAGGACACAGGTGGCACTGGTCTTGGGCAGTGGTTAGTGGGAGCCACGTGCTCTGTGCTCCGCTGCCTGGGCCATGGGAGGTCATCCCCTGTTCTGTGGGGAGGGTTAAGATTCTTGAGCTACCATTTAACAGCAGTAACACGCATCCTTTTTAAGGGGGGACAGTTGAAGGAGTTTTGGCAATCGTGTACAGGCATGAACTCCTCCAGTGCAGTGGAGCTGGAACCTTTCTCCAGAAACGTCCGTGTCTCTCTGAGGTCCCCTCCCCATTTTCTGGCCTCATGGTTCTGCCGAAATTTTCTAGACTGTCCGTAGGCAGAATGGCATCATGTGTGGCCTCTTGACGGCCAGCCATGGCCCAGGTTCTTCCTCGTGCCGCCCCCCCCCTCCCCCGCCGTGTCTCCACAAAGCCAGGCCTGGGCTTTGGTTCCTGCCGCCATACCTTCCTGTGAGGTGCCTGTGGCGAACCGTGCCCTGTCTAGTGTCACCTGGGTGCTCTACATTGTTGACAGTGTCACACTCACCCCCAGGAGCATCAGTTCAGTTTCCCCTGCTGACGGAACAGTCCTGTGACGGAACTGAGCATCAGTTCAGTTTCCCCTGCTGACGGAACAGTCCCCTGCTGACGGTTTGTGTCTGGGAACCTTGGCGTTACCACGGGTTGCCAGCTCTTGTACCCAATTCGGACGTCCTTCACAACTTCCTGCTGATGGCGGCAGCCTCTCCGAATGCCTCATGTCTCGCGAGGGGGAGAAATGGAGCTCCTTCTATTTTGGAAGCTCTGGGTTCCTTGGGTGGTTGATGAGGAAAAAAACCGGCCCTTGCTTATCTCTCCTTCATCAAAAATAAAGCTGTAATGTGATTCAGTGCTCTGTATGAGAAGCATGGTTGCTTTACTGGAAAATTCTCTGCGGACTTTAACGATCAGTGCAACAGTTGCAGAGACACTAGGAGGGCAGGAGATTGCAGATAGTTTATTGAAACAAAACCAGTTCTTGCAGTCATGGAAAACGATCCATGCATTGAGCCCTTCGTCATACACGTGGGAAGTCCTACGTTAAAGGAGACTCTTCCCCACCGAGCAGCCCTCAGTTGGGCCTGGGTGTTCCCGCCTCTGTGCCCGCGGGCCCATGATTCCTGAGAGGCAGGCCAGCAGGCTGAAGGGGCAGTGGCTCCCTTCCGTTGGCCAAGCCTAAACTGCAGCACTCGCCTCTTCTGAGTGATGTGTATGTGTACGGATATGTTTCTTGTGTTTTCCAGTTCATGAACCAGTTCGCATCGCCTACGACAGACCTCGGGGTCGTCCCGTGTCCAAAAAGAAGGTGAGCATGACAGTTCTCACGCGTGGCATAGTCAGTTGGAATTTGCCGGAGTTTTAAAGGACGCTGTGCCTTGTAACTACACTCGTACTTCAGACCGGCGCGATGTACAAAGCCTAACAAACAGCCTTTCTTCTCAGGGATTTCTTGAAACTGTTTTCCATTGCCTGAAGCGCAGGAGGGTTATAATTAGTTTATTTAACAAATGGGTGAGGGCTGATACACTCAGTGTGTTGGGAGAGGTGGACGAGGCGATGTCCTGGCCCTTGAGAAGTTCAGATTTAGTGGCCTGTAATTATGGTTAAAGAGCACGCTAACTCCCTAGTAAGCCAAGGCAGTGCGTGGGCGGGTGCGCGTCCGCGCGCACTTCCTCTGTGCCGGGCCCCGTCTGCCCACCGGGAGGCAGCAGCAAGCACGGCCAACAGGGACAGGTTTGTGTGAGACTCTGGTGGCCCGTGTGTTCTGGGTACGGAGAAGCAGGTTGAAGGGAAATGGGGAATAATGTGGGGTTGGGGGTGCCATTTATTCAGAGAGGCCTGGGAGAGGCCCCAGGGTGGTCTTGTGTCAACAGGTAGCCCTGTGTGGTACCCACACGGGGCTGGGGAGATGAGGAAATAAAGGCAGTGAGGCCTGGGTCATATAGGGCCTGTAGACAGCAGTGAGGCTCCTTCTCTGGGGGAGGCCTGTGGTGGTAATTTGGGGGGAAGACGTGGCTGCTGTGGCTGCAGTGCTGAGAGCAGCCTGTCGGCCGGGGGGCGCTGAGGAGAGCCAGGGGCCGGGAGGGTGAGGACGCAGTCACTGGGACTTGCCGATGGACTGCGTGTGGAATAGCCAAGTCGAGTCCAGGGCACCTCCATGGTTGTCTGCCCGGGCAGTTGGGAGGACGGAGCTGCCACTGACTGAAATGGAGAGACCCTGTTGGGGGGGGGGGCAGGTCATCAGGGAGATGGGGTGCTCTCCAGACAGCTAGGTGGACATGTGGGGACAGGTAAGGCTGGGCGAGGTCACCTAGGACATATGTGGGGACATCCCAGCTCCTTAGAGGTCAGGGAAGTGAGCCGGGAACCAGGTGAGGTCTCTGCTGGTGTGGCGTGGTGAGGAAAGCCTGTGTGGTAGACTATTCAAGTACACTGTCGGTCTCAGTGGCTGGAGGAGGGGTCGGCGTATGCCCAGTTACAGCAGGGAGTGGGAATTTGCCTGGGCCCAAAGCTCGTGGTCCTAACTGATGTGCTCAGTTTGAATTTGTGCTGGCACCTGGCTGCCCGTCTGGTGATCTGGGTGAGGGGGCAGCCGGGCTCAGTCTCATCCTGGCCACCTAATCTTGGTATGTAACTCCTGAGTCTCCATTTGTACATCTGTGACATGGGGCAGTCTCGCCTACCCTGTGGTTCAGAGGTGCCTTACAAATGAAACTAAATGCATGTTAACTGGCTGTGCAGCCGTGTCCTGTGAGCTCCAGTCTCTCCATGAGGTGACTGTAGGCCGAGAGCTTCCAGCTTTCTCCAGCTAAGCAGCTTTCCCGGAGGGGTGCAGATCTGCCCTTTGGGGACCTGTGGCCAGCCTTTTCCTTGCCTTCCCCACCCACTTCCCCTCCCACACTTGTTCCCTGCTCAGATCCTCAGACCCTCACCATTACCCCCCAGCACGAGCTGCCTTGATCAGGATGGAGGAGCCCTTTCCCCAGAAGTATATGCGGCCTTCTCAGCCTACCCAGGCTGTCCTTGGTGTTTAGTAAATGTCTTTTAAAAATAGGCTCAGGTGGTAAGGACATAGGGTACTGATGAATATGCATGAGTAAATAGAAATATTTTGTTTCTGTTTTTAAGATTTTATTTATTTGACAGAGAGCATGCGCACATAAGCAAGGGAAGCGGCAGGCAGAGGGAAAGGGAGAAGCAGGCTCCCCGTTGAGCAGGGAGCCTGATGTGGGGCTCCATCCTAGGACCCTGGGATCATGACCTGAGCTGAAGGCAGACACTTAACTGACTGAGCCACCCAGGCTCCCCATAAATGGATATAGTTTCTGCTCACACCGGGCAGGCTCTCCAGAGGCCCCCCCAGGCCTTTTAACCCTATCTTCCACAGCCGGTTCTAAGCCCGTGTGTTATCCAGGGCTTCTTGCTCCTCTCTACCTGGAGGGTCTTCCCAGCTATACCAGCTCTCAGTGAGGTCTGCTTTGTGCTAGACGTGGACCCCAGAATCCTAGTAAAACCCAGTCTCTGCCCATGGGGAGCTCCCAGACCTGGGAAGGGGCAGCTGGATAGACAGACAAGTCATTCAGGTTTGCTGAGCAATGTCTGAGGGCAGCCAGAGAGGCTTCCAGGATGGGGTCACTGCTCAGAGTTCTGGAAGCCTATAGGCTTGTTCCAAATGGAGTGGGGGAGTAGGGAGGATCCTGCAAGCCAGTTTTTCACACAATCTCTCTCTACGGCAGGTTAATGGCCTGTTCAGCCCCGCCTCCCATCTGACTCCTGCACACCAGGGGCCTTCCTGCCTCAAGCCTGTGCCCTGGTTACCCCCAGCCTAGGGTGTACCCTCTGGTCATCACAGGTCACCACCGCTTAGGGCTCTTCCTGCTAACCCCTTGGCCCCAAGACCCCCCAGCCCCTCATAGGGTTTTCCTCATGGTCTTAGCACCACGGTGGGAGTGGTCACACTGGGGCCTGAGAGGCTGGTCTGGCGTGGTTCTGTGGGGGCATCTCTTTATTCCCCACCTCTTTTTTTTTTTTTAAGATTTTATTTATTTGGTTGTGAGAGACACGCAGCGAGAGAGGGAACACAAGCAGGGGGAGTGGGAGAGGGAGAAGCAGGCTCCCCACTGAGCAGAGAGCCCAATGTGGGACTCGATCCCAGGACCCTGGGATCATGACCTGAGCTAAAGGCAGATGCTTAACGACTGATCCACCCAAGCGCCCCTACTCCCCACTTTTAGAAGCCCCAGCCTACCCAGGGAATGTTGCTGGGAACTAGGAAGCAGCCCATGGCTTCATCTCAGTGTCTGAGGAATTGGAGACAGTTGGGGGGTGGGGGTACTGGACTGTGTCAGGTGCAGCATGGGCAGACCCTTGCTCCGGGCACTTTGCTGCAAACCACTTGCCATAATCTTGTCTTCCCTCAGAAACCCAAGGACTTTGACTTCGCCCAGCAGAAGCTGACTGACAAGAATCTGGGGTTCCAGATGCTGCAGAAGATGGGCTGGAAGGAGGGCCACGGCCTGGGCTCCTGTGGGAAGGGCATCAGGGAGCCCGTCAGCGTGTACGCAGCAGGCGCTTGGGGCCGGGGTGGGGATGGGCAGCGTGCTCGGGGAGAAGAGGCTATCTTTGGGATTCTGGTTCTGAGTCCTTTGATCTGCAGCCTGATTTCTTGGCTCCCCTCCTGTTAAACATGGCTTAAAGTTGGCAGGGTTTTTTTTTTTCCTTACGAAGGGAGTCTTCAAGTGAGGTGAGAAGCAGATCATTTATATATGCAGGTGTTCATACAGGCTCCTTGCTGCACTCACACAGACGATTTAAGTGGCTTCTGGGCCCTGGCATTTCAGCCACATTCCTTATTGTCCTAAAAGCTGAGTGGTAATTCTAGGTAGTCACGATAAAAATCACTTTCCTTTTTCCGAGAACCCATACGCCAGCTAGCCAGGGTGGGAGGACGCGGCCCAGAGTTTGTTAGGCCTCATTAGCATCCAGCAGGCGTTTCATTTAAACTGAGCTTACCACCTGCTGGGGGAGGCTTTCTGCTGTACTCGGGCTTCTGAGCACGCGCCTCAGAGAGTCCGCACGCCTGTGCAGGTGAGTACCCCTTGTTCCGCGCTGTGAATCATCTTCACTTTCCCTCTCCTTTTCCCTCCTGTGTGTCCCGCGTGCCTCTGTCCCACTCTGACTCCTCGTGCCGTTTCCAGTCCCCTGGTGGCCGGGCTCTGCGCTCGGGTGTGGCTAACTCTCCATTTTGCTCCTAGGGGCACTGCGTCGGAAGGGGAGGGGTTAGGTGCTGACGGGCAGGAGCACAAGGAAGACACATTTGACGTGTTCCGTCAGAGGATGATGCAGATGTACAGGCACAAACGGGCCAGCAAATAGGTACGTGGGAGCCAGAGCGTGGGGTGCCGGCCGGGCCGGCACGCTGGGTAGAGACAGAGGCTCCAGAAAAATCAGCGTTCCCCGTCCCCCAGAACCACACACGAACCCCCCCCACACACACCCATGGAAACATTCCGCGAGGGTAACGAGCGTTTGGATGTGGATGTGTCCCACCCCTCCCCTTCCAGTGGGCCTTGGTGTGGGCCTCCTGGGCTCGACTGCCCGTGACCGTCCTGGGGACAGAGGCCGCCCTGGGAGTGGCCTGGTGTCCTGCGAGGGTGAGGGAGATCTGGAAGCCGGCGCTGCACGGGCCAGCTGCTTAGCCACATCCCTTTTCTGAGCATCTTCAAATCCTTTTCCTTCTCTAGGGCCTTGGGCCTATATAAACATCCCCTTCTTTCTCCTCTCTTTTTAGTTGCCTTCCCCACCTGTAATTTCCAACTCAGTTTTGAACAAAATCGTTCTCTCCCTAAATAGATGAAACCATTGGTGAGAAAACTAAGGCTCGAAGCAGCAATTACTCTTAAAGCGCCACCTCTGCCCCGGATCTGCCCTGGAGCCAGTGGCCAAGTAGGTTCGGTGTGTACACGAGAGGCGAGCGTCTCTGCAGCTCTGGTGTGGAGGGTCCGAACGCTGGCTTTTCTTCTTCTTAAAGGAAAAAAGAATGCAGCATTTCCGATCTGCTTTTGCCTTTTCCCCTCTTCCAAATGCTTGTGGCAGCCAGTCCCCTGCAAGTCTTTCCTGGTTCCCCCTCGGAAGGTGGTGCTGCCTTTGGAAGCACCGGTGCCCTGTTCGTGCTCAGGAACCAGCTCTGGGCGGGTCTCCCGCCGCAGGGAACCTTGCGCTCAGAGGTGCTCTCTTAGCAAACTTGGTGCCAAAATGATGACAGATGGTGGCTTTTCGTTGCTTGCAGGCTGTAAATAGGGGATGTAATTCGGTATTAGCGAAGACCGCTCTGGTCCACAGCCTGCGGGTTGGGGCACGGGAGGTCTTTGAACAAGTAGAGATACTTGATTCCACAAACGTGGTATTTATGGAGGCTCGGCTCTTAAATGCCTCCCAAGAGACGTAATGGAAGTTCAGCGACAGGATAATAGAGCAGTATTCAGTGGGGAGGAATCATTACGTTGATGAAACTTCTCTCAAATTCACATGTCTCCCTAGAATCCACAAACTGCAGTTTGCTTTCTTAAAAAACCACATATGGAGTCTCTTCTACCAACGGCTGGGGGTGTAAACTCTTCAAGAGGCTTCATTTCTGGCCTGTGCAGCAGCATGAAGAATTGTGTTACCAGGGCCTTTGTACAGAACAGAAGCGGGGCGGGCCGGCAGCTGCTTGCTGTCTCTAGGCACATGACGGCTGCCCTTCATCTTCCCCCGGCGCACCCTCCTTGCAGCTACGTGCGAAGTTCTCAGGCCGTGGGGGTCTCGGGCCTTTCTCATAAAGCAGCAGTGTGGAAGTTTTAAATCCATACTCAGATCTGGGGACCTTGGGATCCTGCTGACACTGTGAGCTCAGGGTGGGGGACGCACAGCAGTGAGTTACCGTGTTGGCCAATCTTCCCTTTGTCTTGTGGAGCCCACACCCACCGTCACAGGCCTGTGCTGTGTCTCTTCGTATCCGGTGGAGCCTCCAGGCTCTCCTTGCCCCTGGTTGCTCCTGTTGCGTGGGCACCCGGCAGATCTTTATGGCCAGGGTGATGATGGGAGTGCCTCAGCAAAGTCGAAGCAGCCTGCAGGGGCCGTGTGGTATAGGGGAACCACAGCTGTAGGGGTTCATCTCCTTTCTTTCCTAATCCTTCCAGTAACTTTCCTTGTTGGCCGTGGGTTGAGCGCATGGATGGAACTCTGAGCCAACAGACACCCCTTTGACAGACTGCCTTTGACAGAGTGCCCCATTGGCCCTGAGCAAGATGTGGACTCCCCCAATAGGTTCTCGCTCTTTCTCTGCAGCATAGATAGCTCTGACCATCATATGCACGTTGTGCTAGTATATTCGTTCTTGGCTCTCTCTGCTTTTATCTGAAAGTAAACTGCCTTAAGAATTCCCAGGGTATAAGCCCTGTCCCCACAGCCTCCTGCCACTCTTCCTCCTGGGGACATCCCACTTTGAGCTGACCCTGGGAGCCTTTGGCACACGTCAAAGGGAACACCTCCTTCTTAATCCTGGAAAGTCCTGTGAGCACTCAGGTGATGCTTTTCCTGTGGGGCTGCAGTCAACGGGAGCCGGGGCGGAGCCTGGTGGTGCGTCCTCGCGCCAGCTGTTGGCCAGGGACCAGGGCGCACAGGCCCTCCGCGCTCGCCCTTGTCTCTCCGGCAAAGGCTGCTCCCAGGGAGTGTGCGTGCGAGCGCGGTGTGCGGTTGCATAGCCTTGTCAAAGTCACAGTGTCTTTTCTGTCATTCTAGTTCCAGGGTCTCTTCCGTGAGGACAACAGGCATCCGGAAAGTGCTAACTCGCCACTTTGGGTGCTTACTGTCTCTGGCTTGTTTCCAACACTGGAAATCATATAGAGAATTTTAGCATTTTTGGTCCTTGGTAAAACCTAGAAGACATTTGTGATGTTACAAAACGGAAGTTTTTTGTTTGTTTTTTCTTTTCTTTCTTTTTTTTTTTTAATCTAAGAAGTTGTGAATGTTGTTAATCATTTAGCAGTTGCAATAAATGTAGAGGAAACCCAATTTCCCATGGTCTCTGGTGGTGTGTTTTGAAAATGCGGCAGGTCGGGGGCCACTTGACAGATGTTGAAGTACCTCCAGGGAAGCAGGTTGGACACACTGTGGCCTCCGAGGCTTGCCCTCTGCCTGCCAGGGCCTCTCTACCTGATCTCCCCAGCCAGGGGGCCCATTCAGTTGCTGGGAAAGCCTGGAGGGTGCCAGAGAGCAGGTAGGGACCCGTGCCAACCATGGGGCGTGAGCATGTCCTCTTCTGAGTGGGGGGTTATTGCTGGGTATAAAAGCCACCTTTGAGAGCATCGGGGATACCTGCCCTACTGCAGACAATGCCCCCCTCAAGGCTTTACCCGCTCCCAGGGTTGGGGCTCCAGCTGTCAAGCGTTAAACCGGGGCCACCCAGGCCTCCCCCTGACTGAAGGGGCCTGCCTGGGGGGCATCTTCACAGCTCCCTGCTGCTCCCGTGCGCTGCCCCCACTCTGCATCTGATTCCTCCACCGACAGCCTCTGGCCCTTTGGGGAAGGAATGAGGACAAAGGCTACAGCAAGCACGGACCAGACCTGCAGGGGCTTCCACATGAGGACAGAGCAAGGCAGAGGAGCCAGGCTGCTTTTGGACCCAGGGCGGAGGGGGCCCAGGAAGGGTTTGGGGTGTCTGTTGGCCAGTTAGGGGCAGATGGAACGGGGCCCCCTAGGAGCTGATGTGGGAACCCAAGCCTCCGTGTTCCCTGCTGTGTGCTGGAGAACGCTCAGAAGTGGCAGGGACCCCTTTGACACGATGGGAGCTATGGCCAGTCAAGTACCTCCTCTTGCCTTCATTTTCCCGAGAGCCCAAGAGGGCAGCGTCTGACCACGGGCTTCAGCGCCCTCCCTGAGAAAGTCGCTCAGAACCCACAGCTACCCCACCTCATCTCCCACCCCTTCTTGGGAGACCGGAGGTAGGGTGTGAGCAGAATGGCTTTCCAGCAGCTGCCCCTAAGTGGCCGACACCTCCTTTTGTCACCTTCCCGGGCTGGTGAAGGTCATATAGATGAGGACACATGGAGTGAGAGTCTTCGGCCTGGGACATCCATCTAGGCTTTGACCTTAGGCTCTGTTTCCGTTCTGCAATCTGGGAAGGATTTCTTCTAGTTTGGCAGGTAAGATTTCCTCTGCTCTCTTCTGTTTAGAGCTGACTGGGACCTAAATATGCCTTTCTGGGCCTGGAGGGCCCTTCCCCTTTACTTCTCCCCAGCACCCTTTCCTGGAAGCCTTCACGGGGCCCTGAGAAGCCGAAGGCGCCCTGGACATTGAAAGCAGCTTGTGGTTTTAAGGCAAGCTTTTTTGCTCTGTATGTACGTGACGTGGGTCCATAATACATGCAAACATGAACGTTCAAGCAACACGTGTACATTTCCTTTGTAAATGATGAAAGCAGATATGTGCAGAGTAAAGCATGAAGTTGCCCCTCTCCACTCCCACATAAAAATGAAATATAAAATAATCTCAAATAAAAACTTCTTAAAATAAGACACCCAGTATGCTGCCTGGAGACTTGTGTCCTCACGCGACTGGAGGGCTCCACGGTTTTTTCACGGGAATAAAAATTTCTAGTACTGTTTGTGAATAAGTAACACCTGGCCCAAAGCAAAAGGTACAGAAGTATGTTCTGTGGAAAAATGTCTCCCTGACCCCCAGCTCCCAGGTCTCAGATCCCTTACATGTAGATATACAGGTATATATTAGGTGTAACCTTTAAAATGCAAATTCTGCACATTCTTATCTGCCTGTTGCTTTTTTTCACTTGAAAATTTTCCCCAGAAAATTTACGTGCATATGTAATGGACTGTCAAGTTGCCCCCCTAGAGGCATTTGAGTTGTTCCCAAGCCCTTGGCTCCCACATCCCAGCGCTCTCTGTGGATAAGGCCTTAGAAATGGCATTTCTGGGACCAAGGGGGTGCTCCTGACACCTCCCCACCTCACTGTCTCCCTCCACAGCATTCCTGTGCCATGCATTTTTTGGGGTCACCCTGTTAGCACCCCAGTTTTTCCAGCTGTGCCTGTCTCTCCAAGATGTGGGGGGTGTGGTCCCCGGAAGAGACAGGCTCTGCCCTCAGGGCGGACTGAACCACAGAGCATGGGCCCTGACCCCTCCAGACCCAGTCCCCATGCTCTGTTTCAGATGCGGACCCGACTGCCACCCCTCTGCTTCTTCCAGATTCCCCCACTCTGAGCCCCCCAACCTTGACCTTCCTGTGGGTGACCCTGTTTGGCCTGGGCAGAGGGGATCCTGTCTCTTTAGGTCTTGATGTCCCCTTCTGTCCAATGACTGTCTGGTGCCCACCCACAGGGGTGGGTCTTGAAGGCCAGGGATAGGCCAGCAGGGAGGAGGCCACAGCCAACCCTCCCCACAGCTGGTGAGCAGTAGGACTTTCCAAGCCTTGGTTGCCTTCCAGGGAAATGAGGCCTTGGGCTTGCAGGGTTAAAAGCAGTAATCCAGGACCGCTCACAAGAGAGAGGGTTTAGGAGGGGCTGGTCCTCATTTTGAGGCCTGTTTCCCCTCCTGGGAAGCAGACCTTGTACATGAGGATCCCCAAGGCCAGTCACGGTGCACCCAGGCCCCACTCCCCTGCCAGCTGGAGGGCGGGGTCACACCCCCAAATTAACCCCGTTTGGTAGAGGAAGGGTTGAGGCCTAGGGTCAGCCAGAGAAGGGTAAATTGTGGAACACCCATGTGTTGGGGGTGGAGAGTTTCGGGGTGGAGGGAGGGTGACAGTGCTGGAGCTGGAGCCAGATTCTTGCCCAGCTACCACTCTGCCAGCTGCCCCCCCATTGTACACATGGGGAAACTGAGGCCCAGAAAGAGGAAGAGCCTGGCTCCCGGCTGCACCAGTTCTTCGAAGCCTTCCAAATCTCCACGACTGCTCCAGCCTCAGTTTCCCCATCTGGGTGGGACTGGCACTGTGTTGCAGCAGGCAGCAACCTTTCCAGCCAGTGGTGGGGACTTACAGTTGAGCCCCGGAGTCAGGTATCAGTTCCTACTCATGAATGTCAAGTATTGAGGAGGCTCCTAAGCCACCGAGCTGGCCAACAATGGGGGTGATGCTTCACCCTGCGCCCAGGCCCCACCATGCCCGTGGGACCTCTGTTCAACCTCCAAGACCCACTTGCCACCCTGCTCTCTCCAGACAGAGGCCTGGCTGCCCCTGTGGCTTCCGGAGGCCTGTCCCTGAGCCCCTGAGCTAAGGTTGCCCAGCTCTGTCACACCCGGGCCGGGGCCTCCTCCACGGGACTGCATCAAATGAATGTTCAGTGAAAGGACCATGAACAAGTGAACCGTGTGTTCAATGTCTAAAGTCCCATCCTTACAGATGGGACCCACCTTGGGATGGACAGGTAGACTGTAGTCATGTCTCAGCTTGGGGGGGTGTAACGACAGGTGACCTTGAGCAAGCTCCACGCCCTCTGGGACTCCATTTCCTGCGTCCTTAACATTGGATAATGAGGTATGAGCTAGAGGAGTCAAGGAGGCCCCATTAATTGAAAACCCACTTTTCTACAGTATTTACATCACCATTTTAATATACTGTATTGGACTCTATAGAAATAGAAATACAGGGCACCTGGGTGGCTCAGATGGTTAAGCGTCTGCCTTTGGCTCAGGTCATGGTCCCGGGGTCCTGGGATCGAGTCCCGCATCGGGCTCCCTGCTCCTTGGGAGCCTGCTTCTCCCTCTGCCTCTCTCTCTCTCTCTCTCTCTGTCTCTCATGAATAAATAAAATCTTTAAAAAAAAAAAGAAATAGAAATACAAACTCAAATCTGTAAATGCGTGGTCACGAATTCTGGAAAACTCCACACCCACCTATTAACAGATGTTCCTTTGGGAAGCGGACTGGGTTGTGGGTGGAATAGTCACTATTTACTGCAGACATTTCTGTGTGGTTTGAAGTCTTTGCTTGGATCATTTTAGGATGACAAAAAATTAAGTCTCTATGAAAATGTGGATGATAAAACTCAGCATTGGATTTGCTTTGAGAGTCAAAGGATATCACAGGCGTCCTCTTCAGAGCCCATAGCAGACTGTATACCGTAACAAATCTGATAGTTGCTGGTCTTGGTGGAGTCTAATCCTCGCATCCAGCAGAAGCTGGTCCATTTCTCAGTGGAGAAACTGAGGCCCTGGACAGTCTGACTCCAGACCCACACTCAACGCCAGGATTTCCACTTGGTCTTATCTGGTTTTGAAGCTCCCCGCACACACGCGCACACACACACACACACACACACACACACACATGTGCCCATATGCACAGCTGCATATGCACACGTGCATGCACATACCCAAAGACACGTGTGTGCTTGTGCAAGCCAAAGACGTGCACTTATGCAGACATGGGCAGACGTGCACACAGGCACATGTGTACACACCATTTCTATTTCCCACCAAGCCCACGCTCAGGGCCCTGGGAGCTTGGACATTCCCAGCAACTGCAGCTCTGCTCTGAACCCGGCACCAGCCACTTCCCTCAGACCCCAGGAGGGGGACCTCATGAGCTGAGCTTTGCTTTGCTCCAGTTTTCTCCAGAGATTTCTCAGGTCGGGTTTGTGGGAGTGCCGCCCTCAGTTCCTGGAGTACCTAGTCTGGTTGTGAGCAGTGAGGTTTCCGCTTCGAGATTTCAACGTCTCGGTGACTTGCTTTTTTGCCCGGAGGTAGCTCAGAGCAAAGCGGAACTTGAGATTTGGAATACTCTGTCTTAACATGTCCTCACTGTACTGTGTGACCTGTGGGGAGTGACCCGCCCCTCTGAGCCTCAGTCTCCCCATTTATAAAATGGGAAAATAGTAGTATCTCCTGCCAGGGCTCTGAGAACCCATGGCAGGACACTGCGAAGCTCACAGTTGTCAGCTGCACAGGAGGATTGTCCTGAGTCACTGTGGACCTGTCACTGAGCTTTACCATCGGCTCGCTCCTCTTGCTACAGATAAAGGTCCCAAGCCTCTACCTAAACCCTGTGATCTGCTGGAAGG